GGAAATGTAATACGCTATAATCTAAGAATATTCATAAGAAAAATTTCAGTCTAAAATCGGCAGAATTAAATATAGGAGTATTCAGCATGGAACGTAGTAAACAAGATTGTAATTGTAACCGCTACATTTAAATGAGATAGCAATGAATATTCACAGAGCATACCTGTACTTTGGCGATACCGACGTCAAGTTTTGCAGCCAGAGTTGCTTTCTCTTTGCGAGTTAGATACCTCTTGTTTCGGAACGTAGCTTCGAGCGTGGTCTTCTGTTCGGCCGTGAAAACTGTTCTTCTTTCTCTGTTCGGAGGTATGATCACTAAATCAAAGTCACACCGGTCTGGCAGGAGGTCTAAAAACAAACGAAAAATACGTTAGAATGAGCGTTTACATTCAGATCGACGCGAAGTAGCAGCTCTCATTATTACTATTATTACACATTGAACTCGCTATCTCTTTTGTGATTGGCCGAAAGCGTACAGTGAAATTTTCGAAATCAGCGCCTGTGACGTCATCCAGTTGTAGATAAATCGCTTATATAAACACGACGTTTCTGAATATTGTGTTTTGGACAAGGCTAAAAGCATGCAACAAATGCAGTTTTAGATGTAGAGTTAACCTTATCTCACAAACATGACAAAATGCATGGGACAACTACAGAATGTTATCTTCTCCGTCACATCAGAAATAAATGCTCCCGTATAGCCTAATGAAAGATCAGTTTTCTAGCCCTCGAACAAAAACACAATAGTGTCTTCTGAAAATGCACATGATCTCTCGATTCCTCTAAAGTTTTCAAACCAATAAACGCTGAAGTACACTGAAAGATCTACACTGTAATTTAGTTGTCAGATTTAGTATCATGAAGCTATAGCTTACAGGTTTCCCTAGATTCAAATTCAAAAGTTGAGATCGGATAATGTTGAACAAAGTTTAGCAATATAATAGTAGTGGTGTACTTGAATAGAATTCTACAAACTGCAAGGACAGAAGTTCGCAAATGCGGATCTTTTTTAAAGGTTTCTGTCGTTTATCCTTGGTATGTTTTAAAAGTATGAACTGTTATGTTTTTGGATCAGAAGAATTACTAAGCAGTGCGGGTGGACTCTGGTCAGTTATTGTTCCATTAACGGCCCTTAAACTGATGAACGAGATTCTCGAGGAAAGTCAGAGGTCAGATCCTATTTGGTACGTAGCGATACGAAAAGACAGGTTGGGTGACACCAATTTGCCGCTATCCGCCATGGTATCCGTTCCACGAA